GTGGCGCCCTAAGAGGGGCTTAGCTTTTCACCGTGATGTACTGTGTGGATTTCATGTGATGGGCCTCTCTCCATAACATAGTCTGACATTCGCGCCGGTTCCGGTAATGTTGTAATCAGATCCTGTTTCAGGCGCATGTTGCACATCATGAAGTAACGTTTGAACCACACCTTCCTTCAGAATGGTTTCTCCGGTGGCAGTCACCTACTATCTTTTGCGAATATTTTAAAGACTGGGTTGGTGACCTGTTTCTCAGAATTCCCCCTGGCAACAGATATTGGTCGAGTTGGCTGCCCAGCATTGACAGACAGCCACTCGCCCAACTCTCGAGCTTGGTATAAGGTTGCACTTCTGGGGTATTAAGTACTAGGTCGTAGGCCTTTTTACCAACGGAAAAAGGGAGCATGCGATTCACTGAACCATGTGAGTTGACAAATCAGACGACAGATGGACGTCTATTAGAGACTGCTGGGAAATTAGACGACATTGGCTAAACCGAGGGTGGTAAGTCTAAGCTACCACTTATTGTCACTTCCCATCTACAGTGACGGCAGCTTTGTGGAGGTAATGAGTATGATTATTCAAACGAAATGAAAAGGGTGTTAAGCAGCTACAGTTCATTCAGTACGCATCTAAAATCTGGTTTTTTAAATCTTTGTGTACCTATATTTATACGGGTGTAGGTTGTCATCTGCCTATTCACCTCCCTCTAGGAATCATGCTTCTTCCCAGACCAAGGTAACGTCAAGGGTTTTGGAATCCGCTGACATCAAACTTTGTCAACTAGAGGCTTTTGATTATGGTAGCAACATCGAAAACGAGATTACGGAAGAAATGAAAATGTTTGACAAAGTGAGTGAATGCATGTTAATATCAAGAAGTGAAGAATTCATAGCACATTGAATAGACAACATTCAGTGATCGAGGGGATGAGATATTTGTAACTGAGTTCAGTTATTTTCATGGCCGCAAACTACTATACTTATTGATCAACAAATATTGACATCTTTACCCATGCCGAACATGTTTAAATGTGGTTATACAACAGTGGAGGATCGCATCGCATTGAAGAAATCTGTTTGTGAAAGCATTTATTCTCGCGGAATTTTCGTGCATCGTATCTGCGTTCCTACAGAAAAACCGATCCTTAATGTTGAGAGGCTGAAAGTTTCTCACCAGTCACCTATACTCGAAAGCAGAATAGCTCCAAAGAATCAGTGTGTGATCTGATGACTAACAAACCTAATTGCATGACTACCACCAGAATCGGAATTTAAGGTGTAACGAATGGACTCCATATCAGACATCCTGGCTAATAACCTTAAAAATATGAAAAACAGTGAAATTAATGGTAGTTTGAAACCTTTTGTCGAATGTTATTCTCGCATGAAGTTATCATCCCTGACAAAACTGATGGTTTTCTCTCAAGCCAACTAGAAAGTAACCACCTACAAACACGTCACTTGCATTCATAAATGTGCCTTGATCAATATGTTAGGAAGCAGACAAATAAATTTTAGAGATGAATGGAGATTTTTAATTTAGAAGTAGTATTCATCGTGGACTGACATCAGTTGGGGAAACATTGAAAATCTGGGACCACTGGACAGCTGTTTCGTCCCAGTATGGGACTCAGCAGTACGCATGTGTATATGTTATTGACTCCTATTTGAAGCTATGGTTCACTAGATAATGAATAACTCAGCTTTCCACAACTCGGTTTCAAGTTCAAAATTTTGTCTTCTTAACAAAGTTTAGCCCTCGTACTAAAATTATGCTCCACATCCTATTTGTTTATACTCGCAACAGTTAACTAAGCTAAAATGTTACTTATTTACACACAAAAACATGATGATTAAATTTGAAAAAAAACTTGGCTCACTACAGAAGTTGAATTAGTAAACCCTGAGTTACCTGCTCAGCCGCTTTATTACCTTGGTTGTCAGACCTAACTTCTGAACAGGTCCCATACTAGGATAAAACAGCTGTCCAGTGGTCCCAGATTTTCAATGGTTCCCCAACTGATATCACTCCATGATGAATACTACTTCTAAAATAAATTTTATTTTGACTCAGTCTTTATTGCAGTATAATCCTGTAACTCACAGGACCCTGCAGCATAAGTGAAATTTTATGATGAAGTAAGGGCATTCATACATATCATTCCCCGCTAACTTCGCACTTGTACATCGAAATTACATGAAATAGTGCAATAGTTTGGGTGAGGCGAAAGTTATTTCCATGTGTTACCGTGCTTCTTACGGTAAACAGCATTGTGTGCGCAAATTCGTCTACTTTCTGTATGGTGTATTTATATTTTACCTATTTGCATAGTTTCTAAAACGCCCACTGTCATTAAATCATGTTTCATGCAGTTTATTCATGTGTAAAGTAATGGTTCCATTTCCTCCTCCAAGTTGGGATGTGAGTACATTTATCTTATGCAGAATGATGCTCATAAATCAAAATAAATTAACTTAGCATTAAAACTGCATTAAAAAGGATTTGTGATTGCTGTTTTCAATTCAAAGTATACCTTACGAAACAAAGAAAATACATATTTCTACATGGAACGTTATAGCATTTGGGGTTAACTTTTATCCTCTTCTGTTTCGACTAACTCGCAAGGGGATAGCATACGAGCAGCACAGCGTAACATGAAAGCGTGCCAAATAGTGTGGATGCCTGACCGTGTGCCTTCACCTTAGGCGGTCCGTTAAAACTATGAAGGTCAGCATCAATGCAGAATCTCGTCGAACCCTAGAATATTGATTTCAGGGAATTATTTGCCTCAACAAGGCTTTCAGTGGTTTGAACTTACCTATATATATGAGAACCGATGACTTAAACAAACAGGACGGTTGTTCACAATGAATTGGCAGAAAAATGGACCCAATAACTTACTTTATGGCGTTACCTTATTCAGAAACTTCTTCATTCTTTTTCGCAAATATTTCGGGTTAGTCCTTACACCTCACTTCAGTTTGTAGGAGTGTTGGTACTATTCCGTAACGTTTGACCAACTCTACTTAACCTGATATGCTCTAGTACTTGCTTAAGCAGTACTTTACCTAACGTGTAAGTACTGATAACGAAACACAAATCAAAAGGACTGCTTTGGGAATATACTCGAGGAAGTAATGTATTTAATTAAAGTAAATTTAATAGTAATGAATGGGAAAAGGTTCATTCAACTTATCTGGCTAGTATGGCTGAGCTAGGGACTCTGAGTACGTGCGTGCTAACCAGCAACAAGGAAGCGCGAAATGCCGTCCGAGCCTGCCCGAATGCATGCTCGTTAAAACACCTATCTCTTATCCTTTCCTGGAATATTGAACTGATAACTAATGAAGCAAGTACAAGAAAATCATACAGTGACTATTGAACTATCCTCATATACAAAATTCTTCTCCCATATAGTCGTCAATGTCTGAAACTCTTTATCCTACTAAAGGATGTCAGCTCCCTTGGCAGTCAGATTTAAGGAGAAATTGAATTTCCAAAGATATCCGTACTTTAATTATTAAGACACATCAATCGGATCACTATTATGATTAATGAAGACCATAAACTTGACATTTCTTTGATTTATTATAAGATAGAGGATCTATGAAGGATAGTTATCCGTCGTTACAAAATCCGTGTTGAATTTTGTCATTCACAGTAAAGCTACCATGACTGAATCCTTCAGTCTAAGTAAATGTTGCGATAGGTGGCATAACAGTGGAAACTGAGGTTTGCCATCTATCTCAAGAAAGAAATATTTTAGTAGTATTGTGGTTAATTCTGAGGGTAGTAAATGGAGAACTAGAATGAGATGTATGAATACGTCATTTTTACAATACTACAATACTTCTAACAACAATAAATACCTCAAGGGTGTGAAAGGCTAGGCAGGCGTATAAAAGTACTGAACAGTTAATCTGAACGAAACAAGTCTGACGTTGTGAAGTTGGACGACCTTCCATGTACTCACTAGACTAATCTAATACTGGCCTAGTGCACTTTTGAGAAAATGAATGAAGAGGGCAAACTCTGGTTGTCTTTTTCCAGTATGTCTGTGGAGGACAGAAGTAAAATAAGTAGAGGGTTTGAAGGATCTGACAGGCTTACTAGGATAGTGACAGCTTATTTGTAACAGAGTAAACAGAAGCAATGATCAAGAGAATAAGGTTATTTGAGGTTTCCAGTATAACGGCTTGAATCGCTTTCACTATTGTGTTCATCGTTATATTTGCTTGTGAACAGTAGGATACATATGATCTAGTCAAAACCGAGGCTTAGTTTTGCATTACCAGCCGCATATATAGTTCAAGCAGTCATGATTTCCCGTATATGGAGCAGAAACGTAGAAAGCAAAGACCATAATATGCAGAAGAAGAGACGAGTGCTCGTACTAGGAGATAAAAGATTCGAGAATAACTAATGGGAAAACGCTCAGCCAAGATAAGATATGGAGTAGATTGAAGAGTATTCAGTGTTCTGCCACTTTCGCAGATAAAAACTGGTACAAACAACTTCCATAGTTCCTTTTTGAAAATTTAGCTGCAACGAAAAGAAACAATGGCTGCTCACTCTAATATTTGATCTATGGAGTAACTTTACGACTACCTCGGAAATCTCTTAACACAGCTAGTGAAGCTCCAGCTGATATATCTAACTACGCAAAGCTGAATAGCGCTATGTCGTGAACCGATGCAAGTAGGAACTGTACACCACTGAATGTCAACTTAATGGCTCAATGGTAACGTGTTGGCCGCAGGGCCTGGAGGTCCTGCATTCAACCTGTGGTGGGTTCATGAGCACACACTGCTGAGGAGTCCCATACCAGGACGAAACAGATGTTTAGCATTCCCAGGTTTCTAATGTTTCTCCAACTGATATCAGTTCATGATGAATATCAACCTAAAATTAAAGCAAATATGTCCAGAACTAATGAGCCCGACGTGGAGGGACACTGCGAAAAACAACTAATTTTTTATACCTGTTCGGAACTCACGAGTGTGTGATCTACGGAGAATGATATTCAGTAACCAGGTAGGAACCATATATTTGTCAGGTCTTGCTTTAATACAGGGATGCATGAGCCCACTTTGTAGGGGACTGTGAAGGAACAACGTGACGTAACAGCGTGTCAAGTGGCATTCATGCTTCAACGTGTGCCTTCAGCTAAGCCGTTTCACTAAAATTATTGTTAAGATAAACGATGAGTACTGTCAAACAGTAGGATATCGAATTCTGTGCTCTTTGCACCTGGAATCGAAAAACCGCATCACCTTGACGCAAAACGAAACAGCAAGCAATAAGTGTGCTACATAGGAGAAGGAAAATGATAACAAACTTATCATCGATTTGGAAGAGTGACAACTTCTAGGATAAAATATACTTCAATGATAAGTAGCACAAAAATCCCTGTATAAACTATTATAAACATCTCCATAGTAAAAGCAGTACCACATTGTTGTGTATACCCATCTGTTAGGTGCGGTTTTTAATGTTCGGGGTAACTGGTGATCCGACGCGGAGGATTTTCAGATGTGTGGGGGATAGTAGTGGGTCTACTTCATTGCATACATCAATAGTTTGTCCAAATATCGGAGAGTATTCGGCCAGTTGGTTGTTCAGAGTCTAAACGACATTACGTACAATGAGACTATGGAAATTAGGTGGTTCCACATTGAGGGATGTTAACTGTGACGCCATTTTATAAATGTCGAGTCCAACATCCAAATAACAGAAAATTTGAGAAACCATTTTCCGGCTTTATCAGGGAGATATACGCAAATACTATAGTGCGACAGGAAGCACTACTGAGGTTTGTCTTTATTATTAGGGCGTATCTTAGAGCAACGTTTAAATTAATAAGTTTTCAACAAGGCATATACGTTACAATCAGTTTAATAAATTCATAATTCCCATTGTGACATCGAAAACAAGATATTTAGCGAAGAGGACTCTAACAGCGAATTTATTCTTCAGCCTCACATTCATTATATAATTCGTACATATAATTTAAAGACTGCAATCCGTAAGTAAGATTAAACTTAAATAATAGGAGATTGGAAAAACAATAATGGTGGTTATCATAATAGTCTTGCTAGTTGATAACGTAAACGTTGGATGATAACAAAAAAGGGTTACTTAAGATATTCAAATTGTTTATAAAGTGTTACAAAGTGGTGAAAACATGGTATAGTTAATAAACAATCAAAAGATTAGGTATAATATGAATAAGATAAGTTAATTGGAATGAACTGGAAATCTTTTGTTAAAAGTTGCAATTACTGGAAAGATTATATGAAGTAACACCGAAAACTGTTAAATGTAGAAACAAAAGTGGTAATGAAGACATAGGAGTACAACGATTAATCTAATAAAGGGGAAAGTCGAAAAAATAAACCAAGATCGAATTAAGTTAAGAGCAAGGTAGGAATAAAAACCGTACATACTTCTTTAACACACAAAAGCCAGGCTTCAGTTCATGAATACCCAAACCCTCTTCCGTTTTTAAGAAGTTGGAGACAGAGGAAAAGTGAGATATTTGAGCGGATTAGATAAACAACCTTAAAATCATTGTTCACGTCGGTTCAGTACTTGGAATCTACTAGATATTCAAGGATACAACTTCTAATGCATTTCCTTACATCCTTATAAAACCAGTCAGCAATATGTTCTCGTATACCAGTTAACAGCAACCTCCAGCTACTATCGATGTATAGTAAACTGATAGATACACACGGAGGGATATTGTCTTTTACATAAAAAGCGAACAATTTAGGATTAGTAAAAGTCTAATAAAGTTTGGTTTTATAAAAAGTCCTACTTATTGATTTCGAAAATCGATTTTTCAAGATGTCTGGTGTTATATCACCTTTAAATTCCAGATTCATGAACAAAGTCTTTTTAGAAACTGAGTTGACGATTGGTTTCGTATGCCTTTCTCGCATATTCTTATCAGCAAATCGGCCAAGATAGCGGTTCTCTGACAGCATACCTGTTAAAAAGTCAAGTTCAACTTGTACACAGTCTATGCTACAAATATTTCATATTCGATAGGAGGGTGAGTGGATGAGGCTTCTTTTCCTCACAGTCGGCAACCAACTGTAAAAATTAGTAACCTGTCTGTTCTATATGGGTTTTCTATAAATGGATCTTTTTAGTGTTCCACTCCCACGTCTCATAATTAACGCGTCAAGGAAAGGAATAGCTGATTCCTTTGAACAAAACATTTTCAATTTATTCCGACTAACTTGTCTCATTCATATTACCTAATCCTTTGATTGTTTTCACCACTTTTTAATCTATATGCAGCTTATAAACCATTTAAAGGATCTCATATAACTCTTATTTGTTATCATTCGACTTAGCAATAATATAATTAAAACCACAATTATTGTTAATAAATGTGTAAATCTTGGATACTGTGGTAGAATGTCATTCCATATTAGATTTGTTTATTTGATTTATAACACACCGTGATACAGTACTTACTTGGTGACGTTTCGAGTATAAATTATCGCTTCTAAATCATATCAGTGTAATCGCACTACTTTCAACGTCTGATTTATGCAGTCCTGTTACCCCATATTATTCGTTTTGTTGGTAGTGAAAATTCCCATATCTCTGGTATAGGTGTTGCGTCATTAATATTACATGTACTGGGTTTTGATTCGATGAACAAAGATTCAGTAATCAATCACTCTATCCACCTTATTAAATTGGACTTAAGTAGAGTGGTTCTATCCCATGCACCCTATTGTGTGGTTATGCGTTAATGCATGCAATAGCCAAGTATTTTTCTAGATTATTAATATTATTCGGGTCTGTCATTCTATATTCAGCTAAATTCCTATGTTCCACTAATCTAAATGACTCCGACCGCTTAGTTTAACCTATGTACTTGACCTCGCAATCATTACATGGAATTTGATAGATTTTTTGGCCTAATTGGTTCTGTCGGATCCTTAAGCCAACCGACAAAGCTTATCTCTGAGTGAGTTTGTAGGTTTAATTGCCACTTTAATTCCAGCTTTGTTGAGGATCGTACGTAAAGTTTCTGATGTTCCTTCCTCATCGAGTAACACAATGGAGGCTTTGAACTCTTTTCTACTCGTGTTATCGTTATTGTTCGGACTTGCATTACTGTTATTTCGTTTCTTGTGTTCCTATGGATTTCTGAATAAACTGCAAAAGATAGTTGTTAACCATTAGTGCTTCTCTTACGTGCTTCAGTCTCATTGTTTAGGTCGTTGCACTGACTAGATATTTGACTAAACCCGCCTTAACTGACATTACATAGGATGACTGGAAGTCTGGATACCTATTAGAATGTGTTGGTTTCCTGTAGATGGTACTATCCAAACCACCGTCTGTCCTTCGTTTTATTCTGCAATCTAACATAGGTTATTCTCCTTGTTCATTATCTACCTCATAAGTGAATTGGATTGCGCCTGCTACTGAGCTTATATGTGTGAGGAAAGTGTCGATATGTCCCGATTTCAACACAGTAAATCTTGCTATTTCAATCTCCCATTGTTTAAGTTTAAACTTTCTGTAAGATGTCTACTAATGTTAAATTAATAATATCCGTTAATTCTAAGTAAGTTATTCTCGATATCACCAATCAATGTGCCTGAGCAATAAAAATATAGTCTTCTTTACAAGTTACAACGTTCTAATAGTCGTCCCAGTGACGAGATATGAACTTGAGTGCCATTAATTGCCTACATCATATTCTTTTACCATATACAAGAGGAAATATTTTGACAAGTTTTCAAATGATTCAATCTATAGAAAACAGTATTATAGGAATCACCAAGTGATTTAAGAACACGACTTTCAAATTCACTAAAGCATTTTCTTCAGTGTATTGTACTCTAAAATGGTGGCAGTGTTGTAACTAAGCTTAATACGAGTTTATTTTTCATAAGAACTTCCATACATACAAACAAATATTAACACACTGAAGGGTTCTCTCATATTTCCTAAAATGTATTTTAAATATCACATTGCAGTAATCTAAGAAAATTATTCTGAAATGTACAACTGTCAGCATTTGCAAACCAATGAGAAGAATAGATTTTGTGTGATTGGAGGTATATACTAAAAAGCTGTGTACATGATTCAATGTGTAAACTAGAATACAGAAAACTGTCAATGAACCGGTAGAGCATCAACACATTCTGCTACTGTAGACGATTCTACAGGTCTCATTGAGCGTTCCATGTCATTTAACAACAACTTAGGATCAGGATCTCTTCCACGAAAACGACGAAATAATTCAGCTGGTGGGATTGCACTACCATAAGTCAAGTATGTATCACGGAAACGTTTGAATACCTCCGAGGCCTATATAGAGACAGAAGAAAACAAACACCGAAACACGTCAATATTCCTCTATTCATATAAGCACTAATATATAAAATACAAGGTAAACACAGTAAAAGTAGTAACGTATATCATCACTTACAAGAAAAAATAAAATCAAAACTCCTATGACAGAAGATGACAGACGCCAAACTGATAGCAAAACAAACACATAAATATATCCTGTATTCAACAAAGATGATTAACGTTGAGAGAAAAGCTACGCTGCAACAAAATGTCAAAATGACACTCTCGATTTCCTATTTTCTGAACTACGAAGAACAACTGGGTCCTTCCTCTCAAATTATTAGTCATCTTATCTCATCTAAGGTCCGCCAAACGGATGAGAAGTACACTAGTGGTTACAGTTCATCATGGTAGACCGGAACTTTTTAAGTTTCTGAAGAGCATTCTAAGAAGAAAAACCCTGTAGTGTTTTCGGAACTGTCAAGATGAGTTGGTTGGCCACTTGTTAAAGCAACTTGGCAGTGGTAACAAGAAAAAAAAAGATAGACATCATAACACACGATACCGCCGAACATTCATCCAGATCTTCAAACTTCACAACAGTACGTCCATGTGAAAATAACGAGAGGAAAGATGAAAAGAAAGCATTATATCCAAACTGTTTTCGGGGAAGAGTAAAAAATATAAGGTTTCGTGGACTTAGATAAAGATAAGGCATTAATATATCGGACTGTAAGGATTATTTTTAAGCCATGTTATCGAAAGTCACTAACAGTGGATTTCAGGTGTCCCGAAAGACCTGAAAAGCGAGCCAGCGCTTCAATGAATAAGTGAAACTAACAATAATCAGTGACCTAATGGACTGATGCCACGTTTCGGTATGAAAATCCTTAATTTTCTTTCAAGTATGTCTTACTTCACTTAACATCCGTAGTCAAATAAATAAGTGGCTGCGCATATGAAGTAAACAACTCTAGTTCAGTCAGTGCATAAAGTCTTTCACCTAACTCTAGCATTAGTAGCTTGATGGTCCCATGACAAACCAATTATTTCCTGAGGGCGAATCCACTGTCTCATTATACAAAGTAGGATAAGCAACACACATATAATGATATACTGTTTTTGTTTACTTTGACTAAGTCATATTTACCTGGAAGCGAATTAAATACCTGACGCAAAACCAGATGTGAAGATTGAGTATACCTTATGTATGAGAAATTATCTGGCAACTTGAAATATAATTTTCATCAAACTGCCTGTTTGAGAAATTCACAGTTCCTGATGAGAACAGCACAACTAATCACAACAGAATTGTGAGCTCTATGGTTTACCCTCGAAAGACAAAATGTCCCAACTAGAAAATGTGGCCCATTGACATCAATTACAAAGTAAATAATGATAGAAGAAACATCTGACGACATATACTACTGATTGACTTAAATAGGTGTAAATCACTAACAAGCTAGATGAAAGTAATCTAAATACAAGATAGGTTTCTTGCTTGTTTGTGGCGGAAATCATCAGATTTTTCTTGATTAATTTAGCTCAAAGAAATCAACTGTTCATACCACTTGAATCCCGACCTGGTATTCGGAGTACATTAGGAATAGACAGTAGGGAAACAAGCAAAGCTGTGCATTGAAATCTTAAAATGATCCATCTGGACTTCAGTGAGTATGAGTATGGATGTAACTCAGCTAGTTTCAAGCAATTGGTCCAAAGTGAAAACCCGGCTTCATATACTTCGATATGGCTAACCGGATAGTATCACAAGACCTCATATAGTAAGCACATAGCCTTATATTAGATTGTATTACACCACTGCCACAGATTACTATCAAGTAGTAGACTAGGTCGATCACTAGCTACACTATACATTTAAAAAGAGGATAGAGACTAGTTAATGTGAACCTTCTTTTGACAGTGTAAATTGACGGACTGTATTTCCAAACCATCCTGTTAGTCATGTCTGTAGACCACTTATGGATCGGCTGTGCAGAATAACAGGAGTAAGTAGTTAAAAATCTCATCAGGGCACAGATACATCAATTCGCTATTCTGCTGAATGTTTAATCACAACCAGCTTTAAAACAACAAAACGACTAGATCTCATGTTAAACAAAACTGAACAATTCAAAATAGCAAAACGATAAAAGGAAAATATTAAGATTAATTTACGGCTTCCAAATCAGTTACCATCCGATGGAAAAAAAAATGAAACGTTAAGCTATTTGCCACTGGGGTGTACGATTCTGAGTTTCAATTATTGATCTATGCTGCTATATAGGCTGGGTAACCTCAATAGATGTCAACTTCAAAGGAGTAATGAGAATAATTTATTTAGTCTTTTTCCTAGTGTATTATTATTCGCATGAAAGTAGTATATCTATATAACGACTGAAACCTAGTAAAAATCTTTCTCGCAGTCAAAGATCTGCTTTCGTCTCCTGGTACTTTTGCGGCTGTTGTTCATGCAAAGTTCATATGCACAACCATACTTCATATTGTTATTTGTTTACTTACATTCGCCAATTCGCTAGATCAATTCAACAATAGTACATAAAGAGTGAATTAACACAAACAGAAGCATAATACAGTAAACCAATTGAAAGATATGAGTGTAAGGAGAACAACTAAACGTTGAGTTATAAGGTTTTAATGGACGTAGAGAACAATTTAGTCTATACAGTCATGACAATCCTTCTAGTCATTTTAGACACTGATTTCTGAAGTTTTGAGGACTGTGTCTAGGCAATTTATACTTTTAAACATAACTGGGAATTACAATTAGTTAATTATTAACATCCGTCATGTTTGAAAAATTTTCTAACATCCCGTTCACACCATAAGAAAATGGTGGGTTGAAATTTATGCTAACTGATACCACCACTCGACAACGTTATTCCCCAGTTTGTTTGAGCACAATACTTGTATGTTTACTATCACTGTTCAAAAACACACATTTCGAAAAAAAAGGAGTCGAAGCTGAGGGCTACTGAATAAGGCAAGAAGAAAGCAGACTATATCCAAGAGCACAACATATTGAAACGAGTATTGGGATTCGAAAATAAACAGATCAACCGAAAGGTGTATACTGATTCCAGTATTATAAGGGGAGTACACCGACTTATAGAGTATGAAGAGAAAAAATTTTTAAACATGCTTACGATAAGCAGGATAACCTTTGGGGTAACTTTCAACACTATGGAGTGCCACAAATCTTTATCAACCTCATTCAACAGCAGCTATATGATGCTACATATCAAGTGATTCACAATGGAAAGCTCAGTGATGCCTTTGAAGTGAAGACAGAAGTAAGACAAGGCTGTCTACTATCACCGATGGTCTTCCTGATTGTGGCCGACTGGACTGCACCGTGCAACAAACTATGAGGAGCGAGAAGATGGGCATACGCTGGCTGGACTGATGAAAAGGGCCTAGAAGACTTGGATTTCACCGATGATGATTTATGCCTAATGTCTTGTCGCACAAACTCGAAGATCTACAGGTGAAAACTAACAAGTTGGCAGGAGAGGCGAGGCAGTGAAGAAGGGACTTCAACAGGAGAAGACAGAGGTGATTAAGATACTCAACCAACAACAACAAACATCAATCAACATCAACGGGAAAGTTGTCTCCTACACCTACCACCTAGGCAGCATCGTTTCAGCTACAGGCGGCGGTACAGACGGGGACATCAAAGCCAGGATCGGGAAGACAGCAAGACAAACCTTCATTAATCTGAAATAATCAGTGTGTAGATCTGCTGCTGTGTACTGCACTGCACCCAGCATAAAGCGTGAACAACATCGGATTTTCAACACTAAGTCAGTCAAGTAAGTCAGTGCTTCCGTGTGATGGTTCAGAGACTTGGTGCGCTACGAAAAGCATCTCCTTCCAACAAACTACAGACATACATCAACAGCTGCCACCTACGCTGAAGATCAGATGACCAGGATAATAAGAGCAAGCAACGAGGAGCTCACCCTATCTGGCAACGAGACAGACAAGAACCTATCGCCCAACAGATATGCAGGAGAAAGTGGAGATGGATTGGATTGGACACACTAAGAAGACTGTTTGGGAGGATTACGCTCCAGGTGAGGCCCTCGAGTGGGACCCAGATGGGAAGCGACGAGTTGGGTGTACGAGGGTGGTGACATGGAGGAGGTCGTGTGAGGAAGAAATGGAAGCTTGTGGGCAGTCGTGGAACCAGGTTAAAAAAACTGCAGAGAAGAGAGTGAAATGACGACATGTTACTGAAGCCCTATGTTCCAAAGCAACCCAAGGGACGAACAATAATAACTTTCGTTCGTGTTATTAAAGACAATAATATTAAGTGAGATTGGTGAAAAGCTCTGAAATTATGGATCACAGTAGTAGTTACATCACACACATCTGGGATCAGCTGATCAAAAGATCAATTTATAGAAACCTGACGTGGACAGGAGAGCATCTAAGTTCCCAGTATGCAACCCACTATAAAAGTGGTTGTTTAATACAGACGACATATATAGAAGAGGAAGTCAAGCTGTTGGTCGCTGAACTGACAAAACAGAAACACTGAAATTTATCAACTGATGCAAACACTGTGTAGCAGTGAAACCCATCCACTTTACGGCCCACCAAGAACAATGTCTATATCTCATCACCATTTAAACATGAGTCAAATACCTTCATTGTGGAGAAGAGGTGTAAATCAGCAAATAATACTATGCAGACATCAGCACTGTATTGAAGATCAATGTTCCAAAAAAACGAATGATTGTATCATATCCCATCGTGTTTAACAATTTACATATATGTGGCCTCACATGCATAGAGGTAATCGTGATATGCAACTGAGGACGGTTGAAAATATATCTAAGTAGCTTCAAAAGTAAGTATAGTGCTTTGTCAGATGTACAAATAAGTTGGAAGAGGAAAGTCAGTGAAGTTGTGAACCTTCGTCGAGTGAGATGGCTGGGATACATGTCACCCCTGTCTAATCATCATATATCCTATCGAACAATGCTACCTGAAATATGTTTAAGATGGAAAAAAGTTAGAAGCGTCCGAATTCCATTACTGTTTTATTCTTTCTTGTTCTCTTTTCATGACTTTCTAACACTCTGACTTTCTTTCTTATTCTTCCAACTTTCATCTTGGTGGTTTTTATCTTGATGTGCTAAAATGTGGTAAACCGTGAACTGTAACGTAATAACACCATGTCTCAATTTGATGCTGACTGACTGACAGACGTTTATCTTCATCGATTGCCAAATATAAACTAGAAACCAGTCATAGAGTGGGGATTAAAACTGTCTTTATTGTATTGCATAAAAGTGATTAAGAACGACTGCTTAAATCTAAGGGAGCCCCAGACATTTGTAAATTTAAGCCTCCTTTACATATTCCAAAAGAAATTCGTACTAACTTTTAACCTAAATTCATAGCACTGATTTCAATTTTCATACCACGGGTGATGTGTGGTGTTGATTTTTATTTTTGTTCTACCCTTATCCTCTTTCTAATTTTTAAAAGTTCTATTGACCTAAATGACCTTTCTCTGTAAACAAAAACCATTTTCTTTAACATTTCTTACCTTTGCCGACTCTGGACCTTCAGACAACCAATTAGCATCACGTAATGCACACAAAACATCTTGTAAGAGAATTCTACGCCAAATTTGATGGTAGAATAAACCAGCTTGTGAATTTGGCCCAAAGAGAAGGACACAAGAGCATGGCCACTGATCATCTGGCTGAAGAGGATATGGCATATGCATTTTCCATAATTCTTTTTGCAGAGTTGACCATTTCGTGTCTGAGTGTTTTTTAGACCAAACAGCTAAGTCAAATCTAGATGTATATAATTCTTGAAGAATAAGCAATGACATAATACGTTTCGGTGGCGTTCTTAAGCCTACAGGAGCTAAATGGAAAAGAATAATCAATGAATAGGTCATGTTTATAGGTGCCATCGATTTTTTAAATTTAGTGAACATAAAGCGTGAAACGATATGCTCATAAAGGATATCAACAACGACCTTGAATAGTCATCAATAATACTAATAACAATAACAATAATAATAATGCAACTCAACAACTACCAACAGATTCATGCATCAGACTATAGGCTATACAAGCTGTAAAATTTTCTCAATATTAATGACCATATCACCTTTAAGTAACTGATGCTTTTGAGGATTCCTGTTCAACTTATTCTGATCGACTACCCTTTCTGTTTGCAATTATTTTAAGAGTTGATATTCCTGTCATATTGGATTTGTCATTTTCACTCTTGGGAGACTGTAGTTTGTGCACTGATATCAGCTAGAAGTGTACAAATTCATATTTTTCACTACTGTACATAGACCCAATAATTGGAGTTACGAGCAAACCAGTCATTCGACGTGACAAGACTCTCAGGTGAAAGTGATACAGTTATTTAAGGATACTTACTAGCCGGTTGCTAAACCCCAATAGTTAGCAAAGAGTTTTAACACATGACTCACTGCTTGAAGCTGCTGAACACACAGTGGTGTAATAAAAACATTCATGTAAATGCGATTCACTGATTCAAGAACCCTCAAGGAAATTTTCCATAGCACCTTATTAACTACAACCTCAACGATTCTAAGATCAACCAAGGACAGGCTTGTGTACCAGACTATGACTTATAACTATGGTGTCCTACGGTGACGGTTATTAGATGAATACCCGGAATAAAGTCAAACAGAATTTTAATTCATAACCAGTATTAAGAGTCACAAGCCATAGTTCATCATCCTACAAATTATGTAAAATAATAAATAATGTGTGATAAAACACAATCAATATGTACCCGAGCGATAGCTCCTATCTTGACGTGATGGTCAGACTTGTATATCACAATGAATCAACAAGCTACGTTAGCCGGAACACTTGTTGTTTGAGGTTCAACTATACTGGGAACGTATTTTAGATAGTGGTAAAACAAAAAGCGGTTACCACCACAGTGCAAATAGTAAGATAACAATGGGCATCCGAGGGCGAAGTCATAATGCTGGCTGGACAGGGATATGACAGCAGTAAAGCGTTTTCCGCTAGCGGTCTAAGTCAGCAAACCACCATTTCCAGTCTACTAAATCCTCACTGTCGACTTCACACAAAGGCCTTAAACGTCCGAACCCTACGTCAAATCAGACAGCAGGCATCTCTTGCTAGAACTCTAGAACAAGACAGACAGACAGAATCAACGTAGAACTTCGCATGAAAGTGCATTCCATCAAGTTGTCACACTTCACAGGAGTATACAAAGACATAGAATAAGAATAGTATCAAACTAGACACACTAGTATGAGAGAATAAATAATTTGAAGAAGTTAGTGCAAATATTCAAGCTTCAGAAGGCGTCAAAGAACGAATATATTAGCACCACTGCTACCGACTTTCAACCATCTCACCAGAGTTCTAAACCACTGATTCTTGTCGTTTGGGGGACACCAGCGGGGTAATTTGCATCTCCGCACACAGTCCACCAAACCAACAGTCACCGACTGCATCAACCGGTGCTACGGCTTGGTGTGGCCACCCTGAACCCTTTTCCAAACTAATCCAACTTTCCCCACCATGGCACGACTGGTCTTCAGCGGTGCCACGGCTAACAATAGAGTGTAGTAGTTGAGTGTGTCGACCACTTCACTTACCTGGGATGTGGGATCAACCCTGGTGCCTCATTGGCCGGTGAAATCTCTGTACGGATACAAAAGGCTCGATTGGCTTTTGTCAATTTACGCCAACTGTGGCGCCGCCGTGATATCCGTTTGTCTATTAAGGGTCGCGTGTACTGCACAGCAGTCCGGTCTGTTCTACTCTATGGCTGTGAAATATGGCCATTGAAAGTGGAAGATATAAAAAGGCTTCAAGTGTTTGACCACCGTTGCCTTCGTAGTATAAGCCGTATTCCGTGGTGTCACCAGGTGAGTAATGCAGAAGTCGGGCTGTAGGTTCTACTACCGGTCATGGCATATTTACACAGCATCATTACCCCTAACAAGTGTGACAGATGTTCTAGTACAAGAATCTGTACCTCACTTCTTCAAATAGTACTTTCACGATTTACCTATCTGTTCTTCTATATCACTACAATGTTAAGCTGTTTTTTTCACAGCATTTTTTAAATCCCGTCAACCAATAACAAAATGAGATCCAGCATTAATGCATAATAGTCAAAGTTACCAAACCTCATATTAGTACATCAACAGACAAGGTTTCGAGATAAAAGTCAGAAAAATTGAAATAATACGACCGAAACGCGTAAAACGTCATTAGAAGAAGAAGAGAGAGGGAGGGGTAAATCAAATAATAGCATGGATGTCCCTGTGATTGATTCTCAGACAGATTACATTGAGTTATCAGAAAAACTTTGGATTGTCCATTAGAACTTTGAAAAGGAGCCAAAATAACTCCTGACCAGTTTTAACGAAAAACTGACTGATTATTGGGAATACTAACCAATTAAAATATTTTTTACAGTATGTTGGAAAAATGTCTAAAAACCGATAGAGAAAACTTACATGGTCGAAAGTGAGCCTTTTGTTTATTCGGCATATGCTTGCGAATAGAAGGTATTGCACCACTAGAGCCAATACTATGGCACAGATCCGACATAAGATAACGACTATCTAGTGCAATATAGTGCGGGAAACTGTATAACTCATGATGTGGAACACGACAAGCAACAAGTTGAAGACATGATCCAAAGACAGACATGAATGAGAGTATAGTCTACAGTAAGTCCAACGTATCGGACAAACAGGAAAAAATATGCAACTTAAAATGAAAATATACAAGCGGAATACAACACATTTCTAGCTAATACTTGACTATATGGAATGAATAAACATGTGCTAAAATATGAACACAGAATGTGGTGAATTGAGTTGGGCGTTCAAATGTCCATAGTTGGGTCGCGCATTCAAACTCATTACAACTACATAAACCTCGAAATGAAATTTAACTCAGCAACCATATACCTATTCTTGCAATCACTAATGAGTGAGACTTATTATTGTAAGAAGACTAACGATACTATCTCAGATATCAGTAAATGGAGTTGGATTTAAGCTAAAGATCCAATAATTCATATTTGATTGATAAGAGTTACAACTCCTGCTGAATATGACCCAAAAGTTCATTTCAGTGGATTATTAAAGCCTCATTAATAACTTAGTGACTAACATCCTTCATACTGGGACATAAATGGAGAATAAAAATGAACATTGTTGTAGCAATGAAATAACTCCATAGATAAAAAATACAATTACAGTTTATCAAAGGTTATCTCAATTACTTAAGATCAGGATTTGACAGTTATACTGACAAAGAGTTCAACGGTTAATTCGTCAGTAATCTCTTCTTCACTAGACGTGGCAACACAATGATGCCGACAAACCTCTCTGTTGTGGATGGTAGATCCCTAAAAGTGAAGCAGCCTGAGATCATATCAACAAAGCAACCAAATACTACAGAAACACTTCAAGCATTTTCGGCTATTTTCTACTGCTACTGTTTACCAGAAACCATCGTCTCTTATAACTATGACATCCTATCTTTATAATCACAACACTATTTACCGTTTTTTGATGTTTCCCTGGTTGAATTTTTAAACTACCTAGGAAAAGTGCTAGGTAAATCTAATTGAATAAGCTTCATTTATTCATTGAATCAACAACAAACATATCGAATCACAACAGCTTCACATACATCTTAAATATCTGAAATACTAGATGAAGACAAATGAGTCAACATAGAATCCTGCACAGAAGCGCATCAGTTCAAATTGCTGCTTTTCACAGCCGCATGCAAAAAGGTGAGCTGAAAACGAATTACATAAAAGTTTATAAAAGAACGTAAGAGAGGAGCACAAATAGACGATAGACAAGAAAAATGTCTAAGACTAGAAAGATAACAAAAAGTGTATATATTTGTGTTACAATGACCGATTTTGAGTCGACTTACCATGTATCCAATCACTAATTACTATCGTCTCTTTAGGACCCTCCCCCCTCCCAGTCAGCATTCAACGTCTTTCCACACGGCTCAGACCACGTCGGAAACTTCTTGGACTGCCGCCACGTCTTGATATGGCTACAATTCATCACCTTTCAAATTCACCCAACCTCTACTAAGATTGAATGTAGTAGGAAGGTAGGAAGTGATTGGGGATGCACACAACATTTCCAAGGTATTTCCATGGGGGGAGGTTCACGACCTCATGGACTAACTTGCCTTCATTGCCTGGTATCTTACACTTAACCTCGACATCACTAACACGACAATTCCACCATAGGTTGGTAATGCTATGAAGACACTTGTGGCACAAAATCCGTCACCTCTTCACATTCAGTGACCATATCTCATAGCTTTACAATAGGAAAAAGCAGATGGCAACGTAGTATACTTGTTCATTGAGAAATAATAATATATATCACAGGCACCAGAGATGACATAACTTGACAAATATCAAACCGGTCATTTGTTTCCGAGCTGAGATTACATCAGCAACCAAACAAGACGGTGCACCTTCCCAAGTAAGTTGTCATCACATTCCACTGCTTTACTCTGCATCCTTAAACTGGATGTCGGTGGAGACTTCCACATAAAAGCAGACGATAGAAGAATATGAATTGTGATTAACTTGATGATACCACAATGAATGGGCGTTTGAAACTGTATCTGGTAAATAATGCTGCGTGACAGCACGATTTGTTTAGTGTGTGAACCAACAAAATTATATAATAATGCATTGTTGAGAATTTACTCTCAAACTTAAAGATAATAGACACTATTATATTATTGTGATACAACACTTTAAATACGACTGGTGGTAGCTTTTCTCCTTTCTTCACGACTAAGTAGGTTCATAGCCGACTGAGTTCAAATTTATTTTACAAACATTTTCAGACTTTCCTCTCATCGTTTACATGTTTATTTCCCAACACTTGGATAACTGCAAACTGATTTTGCGAGAAATTTAGGAATTGCAGTTATAGAAATATTCTAACTTCAAGGTATTCTAATTTTAGGCTTGGAATTTCGGTGTGCATCAATGTCTTTTTGGCTTGAACGACTCAAAAATATTACCCTATACACACAAACGAAATACTAATAGAATCGAATAAATTCATTATTTTGTGACCTGTTTCCATAATACGTCTAGCTATAGATGAAGAGAGTTGTCTCCCACCATCGTTAATCAAGATTTCACACTCTATTTGTTTTTGAAGCCATTTGGACACATCTTCCCCTACCCTCAACTGCAAGACTAGATTACTCCTCCCTACGCATATATGACCACACACAAGTAAACTGATAAACACAGTGGGATGTAACGTAATCATTGATGCTATGTTTAGGTTTCTGGTGAAGCATGCGCTGTGCTTTTTCCACAATAAGATTAGCTACGTAATATGTTTTCTTAATGGCTGATGTTAGCTTACGTCTCAAAATTATACTATTCAACTCCCCTCTGTATAGTAGAATGATTCGAACACTCTTCATAGGGACCGTGTATAGAGTCGGGTTCGGTGCTACCTGACCTCTACAATAGTTCATAAACTTCAGTAGATATCTGTTTTTCAATAATTTGATAACTTCATTCCTCGTGTCTGATGCACTGATACGATAGATCCTATTAAACAGGGATTTTACCAGATCACGCTTGTATCGGATTAAACAAAAACTGTGAAAATTCAGGTATTACGCCGTCCAAGTAGACTTTCTGTGGACTGACCGTCTTATTGAACCATCTCATCGACTTAGGAGTGTCTAAGAGTGGCAGATGATTATTATTCTCTTCCTCACAAGTCAGGCTGATATGATATTTTACGGTGTTACGATGGGTGAAGATATCAAATTACTGACCAAAACACTTATGGAAAACAGATATCTGTTGAAGTTTATAAACTATTGTAGAGGTCAGGTAGCACCGAACCTGACTCTATACACGGTTCCTAAGAAAAGCGTCCAAATCATTCTACTATACAGAGGGGAGTTGAATAGTATACTTTTGAGACGTAAGCTAACATCAGCCATTCACAATCATCATCATCAATATCAACATAGGATCAGGGATTACTGCGTAACATTCCGAGATGCCACACCTCATATCAGTACATCAACTTCAAGCGCAGTGAAGTGCAAGATGAAGATAAGAAAATTCAGTCAGAAGAAACACAAAGTACGAAAAGAGAAAAACGAAGGATGAGAAAGTGATGAGATTCGGTACAGAGTCGTTAAGATGAGGATAATGTGTGTATACATCTGCGCCACTGACATCAGTTCTGAGCCATATCACCTAGGGTCTCCAACCACACTGGTGCCTCTTGTCCCGCCGACCCCAACCACCTAGCCGGCATCGCCCTACATGGCTTAAACCAATAGTCGGAGACTTCATACATTGGTGCCATGTTTTAGTCTGGCCATCTAGGGCCTTCTTCCATCCTTAACCTACTTCGGCCAACATTGTGTAACGAGGCGATCGGCGGCTAGGCATGCGTAATACGTGTCCAAACCATCTCAGTCGATGAAGGTTCACAACCTCGTCAACTGACTTACATCTTCTCCTTAAGACTCTACTTCTGAGCCCGACTTCTGGTGACACCACGGAATACGGCTTATACTACGAAGGCAACGGTGGTCAAACACTTGAAGCCTTTTTATATCTTCCACTTTCAATGGCCATATTTCACAGCCATAGAGTAGAACAGACCGGACTGCTGTGCAGTACACGCGACCCTTAATAGACAAACGGATATCACGGCGGCGCCACAGTTGGCGTAAATTGACAAAAGCCAATCGAGCCTTTTGTATCCGTACAGAGATTTCACCGGCCACTGAGGCACCAGGGTTGATCCCACATCCCAGGTAAGTGAAGTGGTCGACACACTCAACCACTACACTCTCTATTGTTAGCCGTGACACCTTTGAAGACCAATGCTAGAGTAACAATTTGCATTTCCGTGGTGGGAAACGCATCCCAAACATTCTCAAATTGTTACTCAAAGTGTTCAGAAGACTCTGCATCTTGTCAGCGTCTTCACCTAACAGGACTATGTCATCTGCATATTCTAGGTCTAACGAAAATCCTCCTGTGATTAGGTCAACGTCTGTGCAATAAGGTGACGAGAGGGAGACCTCCATAAAATATCTATGATAAAACTGAATAGGAATGGAGATAGTGGGCATCCTTGACGGACACCACTCTATGAGTATAGCTCCCTGGACAACTCGTCATAGGCTCTAACATGCCCACAAGTATTCGAGTAGAGAGCTTTCAGTAACGTGATGTACTTACTAGGCACGCCTTTCAGTGACAGACATTGCCATAAGACTTCTCGATCAACGGAGTCAAATGCCGCCTTCAGGTCGAGAAATACAGCTAGTGTCGGACGTCGGTGAGCGTGCCTGTGTTCCAGGACCTGGCGCAGTGTGAATATTTGGTTGATACACCCGCGGCCAGGTCTAAAGCCTGCCTGCTGGTTTTCTCGGGCTTGCTGTTCCCAAGCTCCACTCAGGCGTCGGAGAATTATAGAAGCTAGAATCTTGGACACTGTTTGTCAGGTTGATCCCTCTGTGGTTATCACAAGAGGACTTCTCGCCTTTCTTGAAGACTGGGATAATCAGTGATTTAGACCAGTCAGAGGGGATCGTATTTGATTCCCATATACTAGTTAATACTTTCGTTAACCTGACTAAGAGCACCTTACCACCATCCTTATATACCTCATGAGTTCTTCCGTCCGGTCCTGCTGACCTTCCTTATTTCAGGTTACCTACTGCTTTCTCGACTTCTGCTAGTGTTGGGGGGCCTATCTCAATGTTCCATTCAGGATCCGACTGGATAGTGGGCAACGCAATGGTGACCGGAGGCCAGTTCAACTGTTCCTGGAAGTGTCCCGCTCATCGTCCCGGTCGTCTCCTCTGCGAGTGAAGCGCAGATCCATCCTTATCCGCTTTAGTCTCACTAACTGTTGTTGACCTTTTCCCATCAGTTTCTTTAACAAGTCTAAACAACTGCCTACCGTTACCAATCGCCGCTACCTTTTCCATACCTTTAGCCTTTGCTGCCCACCATTGTTTGCGGTCGTTGTGTAGACTTTTTCTCAATCTACTTTTTAGTCGCGCTTGCACTCCATTGTACCCAGAGCCTGCAGGAATGAGTTTACGTGTATCAACTAGTTCGAAAGAAGCTGCTCATATCCACTGGCACTTTTTAGCCACTATTTTGGAGTCGGCTGCGGTCCTCAGAGTTGCTTTTACAGCAGACTGGAGATGATACCAAGCTTCTTCTGGATGAGTGATAGTCTTCTGTCCCGATAACTGCCTAGCCAATTTTTCACTGAAAGCGGCTTCGGTGTTTTCGTTGTCCAGTAGCACTCGTAGTGGCTTTGTTGCCAAATGTTTTTACGTCCATTGAGACGCAGGCATATACCAACGCGTGGTTGCTATTCAAACACGTACTCCAGAAGGAGCGGCAGTCTTCCATCGATCCTTTCCAGCGATGACCAGTAGCAACGTGGTCTATCTGTGTCCATCGCTGAGTTGAGCTCGGTGGACGCCACGTCAGACAGTGTCTTTCTTAATGTCTGAAATTTGTGCTAGCTAAAAATAGGCGGTTATCTGAGCTTAGTTGTAGTAGGCGATCATCGCTATCTGTACGTTCAGCTGGGATTCCGAAAGTGCCACCTAAGTGCCTTTCTGCCTCACTCAGTCTACCCACCTGTGTATTGAAGTCACCTGCAACAACCACCACGTCCGAACGTTTGGCTTTCGAGAGGAGGCTAGACAGTTTACGGTAGAACTCGTCATTCACTTCATCCGAACTACAGTCAGTGGGTGCGTAAGCAGAGATTACAAAGAGACAGCGGTGAGTCTCACTATTCCTTTTAGTTCTCACTGAGCCGTTCAGCCAGATAGCATAGAGAGGACTATCAACTGGGATCCAGTCTAGTGGTGAGCTTTCTATCCTAGTGCTCAATGCTATGCCTACACCAGCAAGACCGCAAGAGCTAGCCATCGAATCTCCAGAAACTAGAAGGGTGGATTTTGCGGATTCAAAAGATTGGCCGCTAGATGTTAGGTGAATAACCACACTTGGGTCCTGTATGCGTGTCTCACAAACACAACACACATCCATAACCCGAGTTGCTAGGGTCTTTGCCAACGAAACCTGTTGGCCAATTTAACGGAGGCTGCGGACATTGAAGGCCCCGATGTGTAATTTGCAGCGTGGTTTTAGGAGACCAAGGAATGTGAGCATTGCCAGAAATTCTTAAAATCGAGTTTACTAACACCGCCAGTGGTTAAAAATACCCCAAACATAGAAATTGAGACAAACTAGCTTGGCACAGTAGTCATAAAAATATCGACTGACTGACATCACCATAGTTTAGTTTATCAGCAGGAATACTGATAAGTTTAATATTGAGATTCAGTAAAGTGGGATGTGAACCGTTGGTTTCACCGGTATACATATCGAAAGGAATAGCTTAGGATTCGCCTGACCGACGGCAATGCACTCAACAACCCATCATCTTAATCATAGTAGATTTTGAAAAAACAAATGGTAGAATAAGCTATATAACTGTTGTTTTAATACTTGTAGTTTCCGATTGCTATACAGAGTCGAATTGCCCGACCCCTGTTGGCAGATAGGCTCCTCTATGTGGATCCATTAAGACTGCAGGATATTCATGGTGGTATATTCATCTTGGTGGCTGGCAGCGGCCGAGCAACTTGACCCTGTATAGCAGCAGGAAATTACCAGCATCAAAACAATAACTGATACCCGTTGGATAAGTGGCTATGGTGCCTCAGCGACCCAGTGGATAACGCTATGACGTTTGAATCAATGGGTACTTAGTTCTAGTCTCAGTGGAAATATTACCCACTGAGGTGCAGGTACATCCAACTAAGGAGTCCAAAATAGGACGAAACGCGCATCCTGGATTCCACTACCAGTCACCAAGATGAGTGAAACCTCTTCCATTGATTTTAAACACGTAAGTAATGTTAATGATATTGTGTTCTCTAAGCTGGATTGTTTAACTGGGGAGCAATGTAACCGCTACCCTCCGAACAGTAAAAAGGCTAATTATGAATTGGTGAAGTAAGTTTATTCGCTCACTCTTATAATGTTCCTAACCTTTCTGCATTCCAATACAGTCGATGGGATGTTGATAGTACACAGACAAATTTGAATTTGAGTGGTTTGTGGGGATTTAGATATATTTTAAGTTGGTATCCATCATAGACCGACATCAGTTGGAGGAACAATGGAAACCTGTGAGCTCTGGACAGCTGTTTCATCTTAGTATGGGACTCCTCAGTAGTACGCAAACACGATCCCGAAGTTCGAGTGAGAAGTCGTGACCGGTGCGGGGAACCTGGTGGCTGTGAGGACAAATACCCAGCCAGGACATCGGGCGGCAGTCGCACTATGTCGTGAACTGACAGAAGTTGGAAATATGGACCACTGGGTTTCAACCCAGTGGCTCAATGGTAACGTGCTGGCCACGGAACCTGAAGGTCACGGGTTCGATCCCTGGCGGGGTCGTGGGTGCGCACTACTGAGGAGTCCCATACTAGGACGAAACAGCTCTCCAGTCTCCCAGGTTTCCAGTGTTCCTCTGACTGATATCAGTCTACGATGAATAACAACTTGAAATAAATTTGCTTCTCTTGTTTAAAACTCGATACCATAACCACTATTCACTAAATCCGGATAACAGAACAATTCTTCAAAGATGTAATTTTGAAAATATTCATGATTCACTGTGTTTACCCACGATGTTTTAGTGTATTTATGGTCAAATCGGTTGTGACTGCAGACCTTCAGTTCGACAACTATTGTACAGTAAACGAAAGATGAAAAAAAGTCAGTGAACTTACACCGAACGAAACACCAAGTGTTTCAGTCGAAGGATTTAAGCTACCTAACAGATAAACAATTGGATGCTGCGTTGATCCAGAGAGTATACGAATATCATTTGCTGATAAATTGTTGCGTGTTGCCACTGTGAGTAAGTGAATGCCGCCAACTGGAATTAAACGACCACTTCTAAAACAACAAATAGAAAACAATAGTAACGAACAAATGATGAAAACAACTCGAATATAATCAATGATTTAACTTTGGGAAATTTAAAGAAGATATCTGCATTGAAACTTTTGACATATCAAACAAAACGTAAGATCATAGGAAAAAAGTTGTTGTATTTATTATCAGAATAGTCCTACTGAACTGCTGTTACGCTAAAACGACATAAAGGAAATATGAACAGCAGTAGAATACTCGAGAAGACAGTCTTGAATTATGAATCATAGTGAATACGCAGAGGAAAAGAAAATGTTCTCCGGAAAGGTATTCGACAGCTAACTATGAGATTCATTAAAAGATGAATCAATAAGCTATAAAAAGAACATTTTGGAGATCTGAGATTCTTCAATAGGCAATAGTTAACTAGTTACTAGCATAATTATTTTCATGAACTTCATTAGTATAACCAAACAGCACAGCTAGCAATTATTCAATAATTGTGGCCCATTCGTTGCTGAGTGAGCGGATGTTTACGTGACTAATGAAAGGTAGTATCACAAACTCTCGAACTATAAGTGTACCTGATAAAATAGTGCATAAAAACATGTACCAGGTTACGCTATATTAAAAAACAGAAAAACTTGGGCACTGTTGTAGAACATAATTTTATATCAGATTGTTTATTTGATATGCAACACGGTGACATAGTATACTTTACTGGATGACGTTATATTCATTTATGGATGAACTTTTGGACTATATGAAGAAAGTTTGAAAGTCGTACGATTACTTCGATATGAACATGAGAAGTAAATTCTGCTCAAAACATCATCCAGTAAATTATACTATGTCACTATGTCCTGTATTGAATAAACAATCTAATATGGAGTAAATTAGGCAGTTTATATCGCAAGAATACAACAGCATTGCTTCACAGTAAATCTCTTAAGGACGGAAAACAGTCATCAATCATCATAAGTAACATCATGTTAAAAACCTACAGAAATAATAACTCCAATGGAAGTAGAAGAAAGCAGCCCAAGTGATCTATTCACTTGATTCTCCCTCCCCAGTTATGTGAAAACTGATAATGGTGTAAACACACCTCACAAAACAAGTGATAAACAAAGGTTTAAATCACCAAACACTGAATCCAGTCCAATTTTGAAACGTTAGTCGACTAAGATTAAAGTTAAGTAATTATCTCAATTTCAGAATACATACACGTGAACAGTGGGATTGTTTCTCCGAAAAATTTCACTTAACCTTAACACTACCAAGGTTCTGAATGTGGAAGGATGAAAGAACTGAATGCAAATCTGAAAGATATAAAAGACTATAGATTGGCGGTTCACAAGTGATATCTATAAACACACTACTGGCTCTTGCCGAATTACGTCATCTATGGAGTCGGTGATATGTTCAAGTGCTTTCCAGGAGTCAAGTGTACCGTGAAGTTCATTCTGTCCCACCGAACGGCTGTGCAACATGGTCATGGAAAGGCATAGGATATAAAAAGACCTCAGTTGACCGACTGCTATTGCTTTACTAGCACAGACCATGTTTCATCATGTCACCACGTCAGTATCGACAATCCAAACGTCAGGTTCAGTGAAGACCAACGCAGATCGGTCAATATATTCATACCACAATATCTGGTTGGAAGCGAAAGATTTCTTAGCAATAGTCTGCAAAGTACACAATATAATCTCTCATAAGCTCTCATAATATAAAAACTGAAACCAAAACTGTGTATTCGACACAAACTTGGCTACTCCATGTTCTTATTCACTTCCTAATTCTTAAGCTTTCGAATTCTTAAGCCTAACTGACCTTTTTGGTCTTCATACAGTTATTCTGTAAATGTTTTTAGCTCAGTTATTAACTTCCTGTCCCTTTCCACACTGACAATTACTATTTACTTTGTTGTGAACTCTTTAATTCTTCATTTTAACTCACTTGTTCACGCTTCTTACGTCATTTTCACTCCTACATAATTTGCTTAGCCACAACCTACTAAGAACTGTTGGTTAACAAATGTTGACATTCTTTATCAATAAACATGCACACATAATTATATTTCGGTGAGATTGCACAGCTGTTGAGGATGATATCACCAAAATTTGTTTGCTGAAGTCTTTCTTCCTTTTTATCATCTTGTTATAAACTGCTATCTAATACTACTGTTAAGTTTCTTGTTGATATTGGCTGCGCAATATGCCGGAAATAAAATGAAATAATAATTTAGAAGTGACAAACCTATGTAGATACTAAAATAAAGTTTAATTATTACTCACCTAGCAAAAGGATCAATGATTATTTCACCGAGTAATGTACCTTGTGACAAATCCTCTACATGATATACCAATTTCTCAACAACATAGGACACACCATTTACTGAAGATCTTGGTATCTGAGAAGTCAGCTTCAAATGAAACACATTCGCTAATTCAGAAAATATAGTATGAAGATAGTTAAGTAAAGAACCATCCGGCGGTGTGATCACCGTTTCCAATTCTGCATAGTCAGCTGCATAATTATATTGCTCCAATGCATAATCAACATCCCAAGCTTCTAGAGTTTTGCCTGAATCACATGATGAATGGGTTGACAGCAAGTAATAAAAGTGAGTATAATTACACGAAATCAAAATTAGTCTATATTAGTATTCTATTAGTCTATATTAAATCTGTTAACCAGAGCTCAAAGCTACGTCGTACATACTGCAACTTCACGCATTCACATACAAGAGTTTGCCCTGTATTACTCTATTATTCAATTAGTTACTATTTTAAGAGTGTGATCATTCGAGTGGATTAGGTGAACAGGATTCGTTCAGTGAGTGCCTATGCTAGTCGGTAACCACGATCCTGTGTTTTCTATTAGGCGCCTTTCCTAGTGGCTGCTATACCAGCTTTAAACACTGGATTCTTCAAAAAAGCCTGAACTACCCTACCAGAACCAGTCATTGCATATTGAAAGTTAGCGGAATGACAGGTGATCACACAAGTGAGCTTCACACGCGAATCAATCGATAGGAATTGTTCTTCCAAAATTTGTCAAAAATACCAAGATGACTGAAAAAATGTATGGCGTTACATTTCGAATATATGTTACTTTGTCAATAAACCTTTATTCCCCATGTCAGTTTTTCACGCTTTCGAGGAAGTGAGCGACTCTAATGAGTAACGTATAAAGATTGTTCTTCAAGAGTTCACAACTGTACCAACTACTCATGTTACATCATCTACTAGAAGAGACAATGATAAGAAAATTGTTAAAACTGGGAAGATGACAAAAAGTGTATACACCCGTGCCACAATGACAGATTTTGAGTCGTTTCACTAAGTCCCTAACTATTGATTACTATCGTCTCTTTAAGAATCCGCCTCCCGACCAAGCAGTCAACGTCTCTCTACACAGCTCAGACCAAGTAGGAAACTTCATGGACTGATGCCATGTCTCGATACAACCAAGGTAGTGGTTGGGCATGGCGCAACACATGCTCAGACTACCTCAGTCATGCGCTCATACTACTGCAGCTCATAAAAGGTAAAACTAAGAATTCGAGATATATTGCACAGAAAAGAGTTAAAACTAACACGAAAACAATCATGTACATAATCATTTGCTTGTCTAAGAACTGTCCGATTAGGAGCAGCAAAATCAACTTCTTCCACATTGGCCAAAATATTATGTAGCATAATATAAACACTGGCAGCGTAATCATTGGCATGGTTTTAAGGGAAAATAATCCATTTGTGTCTTACATCGGTTAGTGAGATATGTTTCTTCCCATCTTCCCAGCTGGAATGACGCATATGGTCAAACATTAAGTGATGAGATGTATGATGTGAGTACTTCATTCGACTCAGGATGCGTTAGTTGGAAACACCTACGTCTTGGCTAAAACTGATGCTCTCTGTTAAAAATCTCAGTCGCAAGATACGGCGTCGAATTTCAAAATATTGATTTTTATCAAATTAATAATGTGAACCATCTACATCTGCCCCCCTTCTTCGTCCCATCCTGTGTCCAGTATTCTGCATCTCCACTTTCTTCGCACTGAAATGAAATCGATATGATTTTTAGACACACTAAGTCCACCTGGTGAAATCCATATCGCTGCCCTGTGAATATCCTTGTGCTTGTACACACTACCTCCAATCACCAAGTTGTTGAATGCGCGGAAATCTGCAAACAGTTCTCCATTCTCATTCATTTCACCTAGTGCTTCCCGACAGATGATGAGTTCTCTTCCTGTGTTGTTCACATCCAGTTTGGCATTCATGTCACCCATCAGAATTTTGATGTCGCCAACTGGCATGGGGTCTTGTCCATTACCGATTCCAGTTGTCTGTAGAATTCCTCCTCCCTCTTCTCTTGGTACGTATTATTTGTGGGTGCCTAACATAGCATTGTATGATTGTAACTTTCTTTCCTTTGGAGTTGAATCTCGCTGTCGTGATCCTGATCCTGCAGGAGGAGATTGGTTCCCACTGCATGAGAGAGAGCCTCCTATGCTCTTGGGAGGGGGACATCGTGATAGCCCACTCCAGAACTCAGTGTGCTCATGTTTGTCGTTTGGGTGACAATATCGGAGTAGATTATTGACTCTCCAGTTGGCAGTTCGGAGAGTCCACTTCCATTCCATCTTCCTTCGAAGATTCCTAGCACTTCTATGCCATACCTTCTCATCTCTCTGGCCATCTGGGCAACCATACTAAGTTCAAACATTGTTCAAATATTCCATGTCCCCATTCTTACTTTTGCTTTCATCGGGAAAAGAGAACACACATCAGCCGACTGGCTTCCCGAAGGCTTTCACCAACCGGCGTCACTTCGTCTCTCCGATTCTCGAGAGGAATAAGTTTGTTTTTATTTTCAATATTTTCTTTGCGCTTAGAAGTTTCTTTAGCGATTGAATTGGTTTTAAGAGGTAGGGTTACGAGCTCTATGCCCAACCTTCCCTTTATCCGGGATTACGACTGGCTAGTAACTAGTGAACTAGTTAACCAGGCGCGGTTCAGAGCAAAGTTAAAGAAAGAAAATGATGCAAAACTTAGGCTGACGAATTAACATGATAAAACACGTCCATTTACAGAAAAGAATATTTTCGACAATATTCAGCACCATACTACCTGACAATTCATTATCAATCATACTAAATAATCATCACTAACACCGAATTCCTATCATGTACTCTCAACAGATATGTAGGGAACTACCGCTCCTGAACTCTGATCACACTTTCCTGCGCTAAGTTTAACTTGCATTTTGGTCATCAGAATTCTCATCCGAAACGGGTTGATGTAAGCAAACTAGTTGTGCCTGGTATTGCAACTAAATAGCAAACTGAGCTTGATTCAAGGCTAGCTGTGTAGACGATTGTTACCTGCACTTACAAGACACTATGATAGTGGCGAGTCTGTGTTGCTTTGAAGAACGTAGAGGCAATAAACACTAGATGTCTGAGAGCTCTTTGTAACTTATCGTCTGTATACTCTGGTAGACAGTGTAAAGCTATGCGTAAGGGCGGCGAGGCTTCATTATCAGAACACAGCAGCTGCATCTACCTGACAACAATGGGAAGATGTTCGGGCTCGTCCGAGTCACTGAGAACAAGAAGTCTGGTGTCAGTGAGGCGGACTGTGAAGTAGACAGTATGCCAGTCACTAACTTCCATAGACCACTGGAATGCTGCGCAGAGCACTTCGAAAAGGAATTTGGACGGCTTACTACCCTAGCAATATTAACCTTAATGGTTTGTGCTCCATAGCGATTTAACACAGATTCACCTAATGAGGTGGAGATTCGTACAGAACTCTAAGTATTAAAGCACCATACATAAGGCACTCGGCACAAACAACCTATCCTTGGTTTTTCTGAAGATAGAAGTGAGATTGCAGACACGGAACTGAATACAGTCTTTGAGATGAGACTAAGAGTGTTTCAAAACTCCAGAATGAATCTATTGGGATGGTGGTGGTGTGAAGCTGTAGATCATCGGTTTAGATAGCCGGATTTCAACCTGAGGGTCACTGGTTTGAACACTGTCAAACCAACAAACGTTTGAGCAGCTGCGTAGTATTGTCAGCCATCATACATTTGATGTAGGTCATTGTCTACTGCACGGACGAGCATAACGTTGCTGATTTCGATATATATATATATATATATATATATATATATATATATATATATATATATATATATATATATATATATATATATATATCTTTGAAAAGGGTTTACATAATGTGTGTGATAATATTCGGAGTTTGTCTGCTGCCATCAGCGTTCACAATATTGACCGCAACTATACTACTTCACAGGTTCCGCGAAACCCATGGTAAGACTTATTCACGAGAAGTAGGTCATGTTTCTTTCAGTTCATGGATGCACTGATCTTGCGTTTACCTTCCATCAGATGCTGAATTACAGTTATACATATATCGTCGTAACTCTTGTTATCAAGGCCGCTTTCGATTCGCTAGACCGAACAGTACTCTGTATTTTTCTGTTAAACAGAGATGCCTCTGAGATGTCTGCTAACATTTTGAAAACCCTATACCTACACGCCTCAGCTACAGTGAGAGTATACAGTTACCTCTCTCTGTTGGTTCAAATCAACACTGAGGAAATGAAGGGTTTCCTGATTTACAGTCGATGGCATTTTTGTGACAGCTCCGAAGGAGATTAGTGATGATGGTGTAAACCTGTTACCAGGTGATTATAGGGAGGATATCGTTACAATATGCAACAAAATACAAGATCGCCAAATTGCACGCAACCAGTTGGCAACTAGCGTCCATAAGCATGTTGTGCTTTGTACCATCAAAAGGGTTTACATAATGTGTGTGATAATATTCGGAGTTTGTCTGCTGCCATCAGCGTTCACAATATTGACCGCAACTATACTACTTCACAGGTTCCGCGAAACCCATGGTAAGACTTATTCACGAGAAGTAGGTCATGTTTCTTTCAGTTCATGGATGCACTGATCTTGCGTTTACCTTCCATCAGATGCTGAATTACAGTTATACATATATCGTCGTAACTCTTGTTATCAAGGCCGCTTTCGATTCGCTAGACCGAACAGTACTCTGTATTTTTCTGTTAAACAGAGATGCCTCTGAGATGTCTGCTAACATTTTGAAAACCCTATACCTACACGCCTCAGCTACAGTGAGAGTATACAGTTACCTCTCTCTGTTGGTTCAAATCAACACTGAGGAAATGAAGGGTTTCCTGATTTACAGTCGATGGCATTTTTGTGACAGCTCCGAAGGAGATTAGTGATGATGGTGTAAACCTGTTACCAGGTGATTATAGGGAGGATATCGTTACAATATGCAACAAAATACAAGATCGCCAAATTGCACGCAACCAGTTGGCAACTAGCGTCCATAAGCATGTTGTGCTTTGTACCATCAAAGTGCAAAGTGCTTCCACAAAATTGACAGGGAGCCTGTAACTGCACTCAACCTCAGTGTTGAAAAACTGGGGTTGATCAGGAATTGTGTGTCTGAGTATTTGTATGGGTCCTGGTAAAGGTGTGACTGATCAGATTTCCAACCATGTTT